CTCATTTGCATCCAAACATCTTAGTAAGTGACACATTTGCATATGCAGACCCCTCACAATCCTATGCTTTGCGTATTCACGAGTTAAAAATGATAATGTCAATCAAAACTCCAAATTTGGTTTTGCTAGGGCTTGGAGGACGATTAGGTCCAGAAAAACACTCAAAAACTTCAAAAATGCCCAGGAGTCAAAGGGTTAAACACTGGTGGGTTTTTAAGTTTAGTGTTTTTTCATTTCCAATTGTGAGAGATATGGTGTGAGGTATGCACTTGTTTCATAAAACGTTGTTGGTCAGAGATCTGACCTACATAACACCTATTTTAAAAATGATTGTCGGTCGGCGATCTGAAATTGGCAATTTGAAATTATGGAAAATTTTTTTTTCGCTGAAATTGAAGGAAATTCCAAATCAAAGGTCAAGCTACATATTCCAATCTAAATTGAAACTATGTTGTTTTACTGTGAGTGTATCACAATTTGCAGTATGTTACATCTCAGATTTCAGATCTCCAACTCCAACGTCTTTTGAAATAGTTGAAACCTGTGCCAAGGAGAATAAGGGAGTGTGACAGGCACCCTGGGAACCTTTGGATCTGTTGATTCAAAGGCTTTGTTGCATTGGGCCTCAGCCATAATGTATTCTTTTCTTTTAAAAGTTACATAAGTGAGGCAAAGTGGTCAATACAATGCAAAGTCTCAAATCAACATCTGCCATTCTAACATTAGGCTTACCTGTAACAAACTTGCCTTCCTTTAACAAAATTGGATGGAATATTTTATCTCCATTGGGGCTATCATTACTGCCAAGAACACCAACAACTACATTCTTTCCTTCTTTGCTTACATTACTCTGCTCTGTGTCAATATGACTTGTTCCAGCCTCTGCTCTATCACCGCTTGATTGCCTTTCATCTGAAATGAATTAGTAAATTTCTTATCTTCTTGAAATGCAAATTATATATATTTTTGTTTGCTGAGACACTAGAAAAGACTCAAAAGCATAATTTAAACACTGCTGAACATTGGTTAATATAAATTATGCAAACTTTGTTTAAAGAAAATTTTAAGAAGTCTCACCTAAAAACCCATCTTTGAATAAAGCAGGATACATGTCACCATTACTATTCATGGACAGTACACCAACAATCTTATAATTATATCTTGGAATACCAAGAATGTGGTGTGAATACTCCTTAATAATCACTGGTGCACCTTTAGCTCTCTTCACATCAAAGTCTTCTTTGCTTACATTACTCAGCTTGTATGATCCTCTTTGGTATTCAAACTGCAGCTCTATTTTATTTTCACCTTCAAACACACATGCAGTCAGTTTCTTGTGTTCATTTATCTCTTTCTCAGTAAGAACTTTATATCGTAGAGAATACTTCTCCTCCCCTTCAAACACAACGGTGTTAACATCTGCTTGTTTATGACTTTCAATACTCTTTACTTTCACTGGATCCTTCTGCTTGGGTTTTGGCTTCCATCGATGAACCACAATTTCATCCAAATGTGCATCTATACCATCTGGGAAGATACTAGGACTTGTTATGAGAACTATATCTTCTTTCTCTGGTATGTATATCTTCGTAGCAAACCCAAGTTCATTGACTTCTTTTGTATCTTTATTTATTGTTTCTAATCTAACTAAAGCTTTCTTATGTTTGTCTTCCAGAAAGAGAGCCATTTTGATGAACTGCCTGTTGAAGGAAAAAATAAAACATCTTACATACATGTTGAACATTAAAGTGGAATTTATGGGGATATGGGTCTTTAAAATAATTCCTCAATGGAGTAGTGGGGGGGGGGGGGG